AACACCGTCGATCACTTTCAAGAATTTACACCCGATTTGTTCCATTTTGGAGAGACCAGCGCATTCTTCAGTGCTAATATTTTTAGGTAAATCGCATTGATTTATGGCATCACCATAGCCCAAACTGGCTACTTTCTGACCAATCTGTTTCCATGCTTGATGATCTTCTTGAGGTATTTGTTGGTACTGAACAATATCGCTCATAAGTCCATCCATAATCCATGCAAAGCTTAAAAAAGTTCCTTCTTCGTACGCAACACGATACCATGCACTTGCTTTACTTAACTTCTCGGGATGACTAAACGAAAAGTTGAGATCACTTTAGAAAAATTGATAAATGTTAGTTACCTTAAGCGATTGAATGCAAATCTAGTTCTCATTTCTCGAAGAAGTTCACGGAATTCCAACGATGCTGTTTCAACTGAATCATTATTTCGTTGTTCTTCTACCGGACATGAATGACATCCAGTAATTAACTCGTACTCATTTTTTAAATCGTACGTCGAAACAATCAGATCGATTCGTGTGGAGTAATATTCATACTCCTTTCTTGCTTCTGGAATATAAGCATCGTGACCTTCTATTAAAAGTACTGTATCGATTGGGACCTGTTGTTCTTCCATTGATTCTAATTTTTGTAAATGTTTTGTCCATACTTCTTTCACTTGTCGATACATATGACCAAGACTTGTATCAGATACAAATGACTGTTTATGTTTATTTTCCATAAAATCCGGATATTGATCTATTCGAATACTTTCCAGATTTTCTGGAAGTACCCCTGTTTTAGGAAAGTCAACTACTTGAGATATGTTTCCGGCCAGTTGAAGTGAATATTGATGGTTCACACCGTACAAAGTAGAACAAGCTAAGTGCTGATTCGATAAGGGACCCAATGCATCGCATGTCAGATATTTATGGAGAAATTCACTGATTACTGATATTGTAATTTCACCTACATGTTTTGATTTTTCAGCTGCATCGAAGTTCGCAGCTGCATGTTGTCGAGTAGCATATTGTACCAGATCTTCGTTCCAACATACCCAGTACTAAATAAATGAGAAATGAGATTCGTTCCTCCATCCAATGAAAAGAAACAACTTACTTCATCGCCATCTAAATCACTACCACTAATTTCATTTGGATGTGGTCGTTCGCCTTCTGCAGGAAATACAATGCATTCCTGCAGATGATTTAGAGCTGGACGATCAACCGCTTGCAATAATCGGATATCACCAGGAAAGTGAGCAGGATTTTTGGTGACAAGAATCTGTCGATCACGTATTATCTGACGTTGGCCATCGAGATTACGAAGCTGGATGAAAACTTGCCCGTACTTGAGCGAGTTTGTCTCATCGACAGTACCGAATAACATTCGCCCATCGGAAAGTGGTATTTGAGCATGCGATTTTTCTTTCAGTTTTCTCAACCTGATAAGAAGGAAAGTTTTGTCATAGAATATTTTCGTTTTAGAAGAATTTTACTTTTCTCGTGCCAGCATTAACAACAACGATCGCGCAAATGGTTCTTTCGTTAGATTAAGACCAGATTTGCGCATCCTCTCCCAATCATACGATCGAACATTCTGTTCCAGGGTACGCTGTGCCGATTTATTTGCCAATAACGACATCGAAATATTCAATCGCATCTTGTTTTGTAGTTTCAAGAATATTTCTTTTGGTACTCCCATATTTTCTAGTAAGACAATCACTTGTCGGTTCAGGAATGCCATACCTATCGAACAGTTAATCATAGAGATGTTAGCTCCTGTCTTTTTTTTTTCTTACTAGAACTAGAATGTTTAACAACTTCTAATACATTATTAGTGGCTGTGAATTTTTCTTGGCTTGGTCGGTATTGAACCAATATTCCTCTGTCAGCTAAATCAGGTGCCAGAACAAATATACCTTTAATACCATTCAAGCGTGCTTGAATTACGCATGGCATATAATCATCTTCGATGATTTCTGGATTGTAAGCTAAAAACACCTAACAAGAGAATGAATATATAGTCTACGAGTTCCTATTTTATGATTTATCAACAAACCTGTTTCAGCGCCTCTGGAGAAATTTTACCAACCCCATCAGTGAACTTTCGATGTTTGCGGTCTGATATATCAGCGATACATTCTATCTGGTTCGGTAATAGCTGGAAATAAACATTTGTTGAGATTAAAACCGAAAACAAAGTATATTCGATGATTTACCGTAATGGTTTCGGTGGTGCCAGTTAACGACAAGGCCATTCTTGCAATATATGACCCGACACATTTTTCCTTTGAAAAGTCACCCATCCATTGCCGTATATTGTGCGCTTCGCAACCGTTGTAAGCAGCATGGAACCAGAAGCTACGGTCACGCAACTGACTGTTCGAACATAGTAGAAATTGGTATTGTCGACGACTGACCGTGATCTTAGTTGCTCCAGTGATCAGATTTCTGATCCATTGTTCTTGTTTATCCATGAAGTCTTTTTGTGGCTGGCCAAGATCAACATCTCGTATGATGACTCGGCAGAAGTGCTCGCCGGGACCAAAACATTGTTTTTGCCGCAAAACTCGATTTCCGCGCATTGGTTTGATTGGTAACGGATAAATGGTATATGGTGTTAAGTATACGCGAGGAACGTATACATATTTATCCATGATAATACCCGGTACTACCGGAGGTATATTATCAAATTCTCGTTTGATATCAAAGAATCTATTACGTTTTGCTCGATGATATATCGCTATTAGCTTTCGATAACATCGGTGATTTGGGTATTGTTCGTTGTCAGATGTCTTTGACATTTCATAGATTTTGTAAAGCATATCGCATGTAATTTTTTGCTTTATCCGGTAGCCCAATGTTAATAGCATTTGAAACGCATAGTATGACCAAAAGTTAAGTTTCTCACAGTTGTATTCTGATGCTTGGTTAGACATTGTCTTAATAGCAACTGAGCCTAAATGCATATCTAATTTGAGTACATGTCTCAAAAATAGCTTGCATTTCTCGAATAATTTTTCATCTGAAAAATGTAGGCACAAAGCAGAAGTGTCCGCTAAGCAGGACCCATCAATCTCCCCAAAGTCAAATCTTCGAGAAAATCGTTGTTGGCGATTACATGGTATAGTGTAACAGCGAGGTGTTGCAGTGGTAGGTAAAATTATACACGTTTCGCCATTGTTGACTGCAACCACAAAATATTTATCCAGATATTCTGAAGCCAGCTTCATTTCTAATTTTTCATTGTTATTGTTAACTGTAATTGATATACTTGATTTCTTAATATCTGCTCTCCATTGGAGTGAAGAGCTGTTTTGTATTCTTTTACTCCACATATAATTCATATTCGTCGCGAAGTATCCACATGAAAATTTATTCAATGCGTAAGTCTCATTTTTTGTAAATTGTATATCCAGTGGCTTATCAATTGTTTTAACCCCACATTTAATCCATACAGGCACATCTAAAATAACATCATACACGAAACCAGACTGAATATCGATTTATTTGTATGCAGACACTTACTTTGAAAGCGTTCAGGAATCGCATTGGAAAGCATTTCAGGAAATCCGTTGAACGAGCGCGATACTAAACCTGATATCTCTTGCAAACATTGTTTACTAGGCACTTCTTTAATCGTAAAGCTTGTTTGTAGCGATCTTAACACAATTTCAACGTCAGCAGCATCTTGTTGATGATGTGTGATTGTAATATACGTCATATTTTGTTGGATTCTTGCTTGATTCAATAATATCCAAGTATTCAGCGCATATGTTATTATAAATGTCAAATAGCGAAAGTACAACGAAAAATTCTTGAATTTTTATACTCAGAGTTTATTTACTCAGTGTCTACGTGGCTTTACCTCAATGGAAAAGTGAGCTGCGAATATGATGTGTTACTCATTTTAGTTTCACTGGGAAAAAACCCAGTTGGAATGGTCATAATAAAAAATTACGCAAGAATAGTTTCTTTTGCTCATTCTTCGCCTTTTTTTCTTCGACTCAGCCGAATCTTTTCATCAGCTTTCTTCAGAAATCGCGATTACCATTCACGAAGGAAAAACCAGTGCAGTGTGGTAAAAACCGAGCTCTGAGACACATTACTTCAGTTGGAACGAAAGATGGCGACAGGCATCCCCATTTATCTGCTGACACTTTAGAAGATATGTTTGAAGATATCTCATCGATTAGCAATATATACAATTTAGTATCCATTATAAATACACAGCGACTTCAGAGTTGACTTTTTCCCTGTATAATTTCGGAGCGACCGAAAATCAAATAGATGTAAATTCGTGAGACCGATTTTATGAAGGAGTATTGTTTGCAAGTTTACTCAAGTATCAAGTGAAAGTCGATGACTAAACATCGAATTAAGGAATGATTCATAAAAACAAGTGTCAGTTATCGCTAAGCCTTATCAAGCCACTTCATACGTCGTATTGCGATGAAATTATGAAAATATAAGCAATGCGCGGGAAAAGGTGAATTATGAATGGTAGATTTATAACAGCTAAATGTGTTAGTGTCCCAGAAATATATTTCCTGCGAATTTTAATTGAATCCGTCTGAGTGACTTCCCTTCAGACACAGAAAGAGAGAAAATTCATTTTCTTTAAATCTATCCAAAGAAATAATCGAACCATTGTGTCCGAATATGAACGAGAGCTAAACGACTATCATCACGTTTATTGTGAATAAATAGTAGAGAGGTTGTACCATTCGCAAGACAAGTCGTTTCTATTTTTGATTTAGAATATACATCATTTGATAAAACAATATGTGAAAGAACTTTATTTTCTACTTCGTGTCACTTGAACCTCTTGCGTATCTTGACGAGTGAATTTTGATGCGTTATAGAACGCTTTTCAGTCTTCTTTCCAGGATAAAGTATATGTAAGACCGGTCTTGGTCATTAAACGGTAGGAGTGACCAACGAAAATGAATTTTGTTTAGCTCTGTATTAAGAGTGTGATTCAAGGATGATATTTTGTACACTTGTATAACATGCGTAAACGTTATTATAAAAGTGATACAATACGAAGTTTGCGTGTAAAATTAAATTTTCTGATCGTTTTTTGTATTTATATGATTATGTGTAAAGTGAATATACGCGCTCCTTTGCGAAGAAAATTGAGAAATTCTGTAGTAAATCACATTAAGTATAAAGAAAATAGGTTTCACAGGTGTGTTTATTTCTGTGAAAACAGAACGAGACGCGTCACAAAAATACTAAGTCCCTTATTTAAAAACAATCGTTTCACCGAAAAAAATTCTTTTCTTAAACGCTCGCCGATAAAATCTTTTGTTCGCTCGATTCTTAAGAAATGTGGATATAACAAAGGAAGCAAGACGCGTGCCATTCAGAGACAATCGTCAGTAGTCCATAGCGACAACGTCTTATTCAAAGCAGAAATAGACAAGCAAGTGAAAAAAGAAAAAAATATTAACCATAGGCGCATTTTTCTAGTTTTTACTTTTTTCCTCTAATAACGTAGTTGAAGCATTGGCAATGACAAGCAAAATTAGTATTAAATGTGGTGGAGTTCGTAAGAAAGATGAACCGCCAACAATCTTATTCTATGTGCCAGAAATGCGGCAATTAGCTGAAGAAATCCGCCTTTGTAATACTACAAATTCCATTGAATTAGGTGATATTCAATGGAATGAATTTGCTGATAAATGGCCTAACGTATTTATTCGTAATTCCGAGCAAATTCGCAATAGTCATGTGCTTTTTCTAGCCTCACTTCATAATCCCATGACAATTTTCGCACAAATCTCTGTTCTTTATCATCTACCGAAATATCTTTGTCGATCATTGAAAGTTCTTTTACCTTACTTTCCAACTGGTACCATGGAACGTATCCAAATTCAAGGAGAAATCGCAACGGCATATTCGTTAGCACAAATGCTCTCGTCAATTCCACTTACACGTACTGGACCATCGGAAGTTGTGATTTTCGATATTCATGCACTACAAAATCAATTCTATTTCTCATCGAATATCATCGTTCGACTCGAATCTACTGTTGGTTTATTATTAAATGAGTTGCAAAAGGAAGAAAATCAAGGAGAAAACTATGCCATTGCCTTTCCAGATGATGGCGCACATAAACGCTTTTCACATATATTCGATAACACAACTTATCCGATTGTGATTTGCAGTAAAATCCGACAAGAAAATGATAAACGCATTACGACAGTCAAAGATGGCCAAGCTAAAGGTTATCATTGTATGATCGTTGATGATCTCGTCCAATCAGGGAATACTTTAATCGAATGCGCACAAGCTTTACTACAGCACGGTGCGACGCATGTCTCAGCATTCGTTGGACATGGAATCTTTCCCAATGAAAGCTGGAAGAAATTTCTTCATTCCAACAATCCAACAGTTCGTTTTCATACATTTTATGTTACAAATACATACCCTAATACGAAAATATTGGTTAATCAATCTCCTTTCAAAGTACTTTCAATTGCACAAATTTTGTGCAATATATGTTTTAATTAGCATTTAATAAATATTCCAAGTGTGTTCCTTAGCGGAAAGCATTCATTCAGGTACTACGAAGTCAATATATTTATTCGAAGAAAGCTTTCCTTTCTAATATTAATCGATATTAATACATTGTCAACAGAATGTCTTTTCATGCTAATATTTTATAAATACGTTGTAATGGTTGTACAGGCGTTAAACTCACCACCAATGACGAGTTGAGGTCATCTAAAAATGATGGATAACGTTTCGATGCATCGTGTGGTGCATACAGAATAGCCCATGGTTCATTTTCCTGGACAGAATCACCAACATGTTTCAACAAGCGAATACCCACAGAAAAATCTAGTTTATCAGTTGATTTCAAACGACCACCACCTAGTTGAAATAGACATTGGAGGTTATATTTCGTTGATATGACTCTAAAACGTACCTAATCGTTGAACAATAGTACCAAGATTAAATGAAGCGATTGATTGAACATATCCCTTTTGCGTGGAAATTGCTTGATGAGTGACATCACTAAGTTTTAGAATTGATTGAACAGCGTTCTCGTCGTTGCTGACCAATTGTGCGGCAATGCTTGGCGACACACCTTGACCAATGATCATATCATGAAATTTTTGCAAAGCCGAGCCATTTTTGAATGTATCACGGATCATTTCGCGACCTTCTTCAATTGTTTGGGCTTTCTTTGTAAGTAAAAGAAGTCGACCACCTAAACACATCTACTTGGTAAGAGTTTTCACAGCAAACGTCAACGCGCTTTACCTTGTTCACAGATTAAGTCTTCAAGATCAGCTGAATGACCTTGTTTATATTTCATAAGATCGAGTGATTCTTGAATTTCCAATGCATTCCCTATACAATATCCAATCGGATTGTTCATCTCAGTTATATAACAACATGTTTTCATTCCGAGTAATTCCGATACTTTGAACAGCCAATCAGCTAACACTTCGGCATTCTCAGGTGTCTTCATAAATGCGGACGAACCATATTTTATATCCAAAACAAGTCCATCAAGATCTTCAATAGCCTTTTTTGAGAGAATCGACGAAACAATCAATGCATTGCTTGGCACAGTCGCTGTCACATCTCGTATAGAATATAAATATCGATCAGCAGGATTAAGTTTAACTGATTGAGAAAAGATTCCGCAGCCAACATTGGTTATTAATTGAACAATTTGCTCATCGGTTAGTTGTGTTTGATAACCCGGTATAGATTCAAGTTTGTCCAATGTACCCCCGGTGATACCTAAACCTCGTCCAGACATCATCGGAACTTTCATTTGACAGGCAGCTAATGCTGGTGCTAATGGAATACTTATTTTATCACCAATACCACCTGTTGAATGTTTATCAACAACTATACCGCGATAGTTGGGCCAACTTAAACGTTCACCACTGTCACGCATGGACATGGTCATCGAACAAATTTCTCTTTCCGTCATACCTAGTAGCAAGGAAGTAACGAAACCAAACTTGAATCATATATTTACCTTGGATGTAGATTGCCATAAGCATTGCACCGACATGACAATCTTGAACATCACCATTGGACAAACCGGTGATGAATTGTTGTATTTCATTGGGACTTAACTCGAGTCCATCGCGTTTCTTGGCGATTAGATCAGGAATGGATAGTACATGTTCAGACGTCGACATTCTAATGCGTTTTTATGCTTTTGTATTTGCGACTTTCACTTTCTATCTTCCTTTGATAAAGAAAAGGCTAAAACGAAGCACGCTATGCATTAAATAACGTACACCCTCGAACGAAATAGTAGATAAGAGCGTATACACATATCAAATATTGTTTTTCATCTAAAAAAGGATGAGATAGATTCTTTAGTATACTTGAGTATATCGACATACAATTCAATATTTGAACTAGATTTATTTATTGACATTCAACGAAGGAAATGATCCCATCTTTGATATTTAATTAACTCCAGATAGATCGTATCGATCAAAAGAATAGTCATCATCGAATCATGCGCTTTCTTTTTCGTTTAAGAAACAAAATTCGTCTCAAAATGTAGAAATAACAAAGAAGTCTACGACGCAAAATCATCACGTTTTTACAAAAATGTCTTACGAAGCAGACAGACGCAATATTTCTCTGGGTACATATCTAATACGAGAATGTGAATCAATATTGGTAAAAGACAAGAAAATAAATTTTATTACAGAATCGACACCAAAAAGGTAATGATTGTACACGACACAACGAAGAGACAAAATAAAAATAAATAAAATCACTGTGTTTTACTTTTTAACGTCGTGCACTATTCAGACTCCTACCTGAATATACATCATTGAAACCAAGACGAGAGACAGATGTATTTGATGACGCATATTTACTATACATATCATCGTCATCGTCATCACGGCCATCTGGAATCTTCTTTCTAAGAGAAATGTTTTCTCGTGAATGAATCAGCTATTGCTTTTGCCAACTTACTTTTTCTTCTTCCGTTTTTCGACAGGAATATTACTGAAATATGAATTTCATTTGAGATAAGATTCATTGCGAAAGAAAAATGTTTACTTCGCATCTAATTCGATATTTTCTTCGCCTTTCATCGCATTTTCAATTGCCGCTTGAATGGCCGGCGCGACAACTGGACCTTCATAATCTCGAGTGGTTCGCGTCGGATGGTCAAGTTGAAGTAACATAATATTCTCGCTCTGCTCACAAAAATGCTCAAATCTTTTATAAGAAAAAAAACGAATTCGAATTCATACTCTGAAATGTGCGATTTCAGGAATCGCGTCAACGTGAGAGTTTGCAGTGAATGAACGACGCGTATGTCGAGCAGAGACTGGTCGATGAGCCATTTGATCTCTGAAAGATGAAAACGAGCGATGTGTGTTTTCGTTTCGTTTTGGGATTATTTACGTTTCTTTCGATAATTCTTTCAATGTCCATTGATTCTGTTGATCATCAAATTGAATTCTTTTATATAACCGTTCACGTTCATCTTTTGGAATAAAATTTTCGATAATCAATTGAAGAAGTTTTGTTTGCTTTTGAATCTCTCGCTGTTCAGCTTCGAGTTCTTCACGTGCAGATTGCTGATGTTCGACTATTTCCGTTCTTTTCGCCTCAATTTTCTTCAAATGTTTCGATAGCTTGTCGCGCTTCGCTCGTTTATCGTCGACTTCCTCTTTTATATTCGTATACTTCTGATTGATCGTTTGTCGTTCTTCTTCACCTTCGGCTAATCGTTGTTGAACCTCACGATGACGACGTTCAGCTTCTGCAATCAAACGTCTACAACCGAATCTGAGCTCAATCGCTTGAATCAATAAACGAAACAACAAACCGTTTCTGTCGAAGAGTTTCTTCTTGTTCACTCGTGTGTGTCACAATATCTTTGCCACCAGTGATTAATTTCGATTCCATCTGTTGAATTTTGTGCTGCATCTCACGTCGTGCCTCTTGTTCACGTTCAATCGCTTGCTTTTGTTGTTCTAATTCTTGTAACATATGTTCCCGTTCGGATTCTAATTCAGATAACAATAGTGTTTCGGTGATTTTAGAAACAAAGATACAAACCATCGATGTTCCGTTTGTGAAGAATCGATCGTTTTTCTTCATTGAGCTTGTCTTGCTGTTCTTTTAAGTATAATTCCTCGTCGTTTGGATCACCTTCCTGGTTCTCGTTGTTTTCAGCCCCATCTTGGTTGCCATGACGGCGAGATTTGCGTTTGCCCTTGCCCTTTCCTTCCAAATGTTCTTTCAAACGAGCTATCTCTTCTTGAAATTTACGCAAAAGAGCATCCTTTGGATCTTCATTAATTCGTGGTTGATTCTTGATATTCTTAGCACGATTCGCGTAACTAGACATGTCAAGAAAATCATCTTAGTACATTTTTTTCCTAGCCTCTCATCATCTGAAACTAGTAGCGTTAGTCCTGTTCTCAAAAGCATTAGCATCAGTGCAAATACTTATACAAATTGACAAAAAGCGACGAATAATCTGTTCATAGAATAATCGTAAATAAGCAAATAGACGTTCACATGTGCAAATCAATTCTTACCGAAGTGTTGTCAATGATTCATCATAGTTGTAATCAGCAGGTCCGAGTGTTGCAATCATGATTGTTTTAGAATTCCCACCAAGTGAATCTACAAGTTATGATTTTCTTTCGAAATACATGTATTATGAAGAAAGTATCGTTGTACTTTGTAACAAACGAGTTAATTTTGAATCACGATACGGTACATGTGAATTGCCGTCGACAAGAGCCGAAATCACATTTCCAAGCACGGAAAGTGAGAGATTTATATTAGTTGCTTCTTTAAAACGATCGCCCTAGATTCATAGAAAACAATCTATTGATGTTATTGATGCCGATGATCGATTGCTTACGGTTGATCCTGTTTTTGCTTGGCGTTCACTTCCAGCTAAATCGACGAGATTAAGTTTTCCAACTCGAATATGCGCCTGTCCATCAGCACCCGTCTATTAATAATCAATACAATCCACTTAGGGTTCATATTCTTTTCCACGAACTGTACCTCACTACTTTCGACTGTTATCATAAAAATAGCATGCGATCGTGAACTATGTTCATTCATGTTGGTTGCCCTAATAGCAAAACGGTCAAGTCTCATCGTAAGTATAGAGTTTGTTTTTTTAATTACCCCGTCGAACGGTTTAGATTGCCAGTGGTCATCACATGTTCGATCTCTTGCATGTTTTTTGTAATGAACGAACTCAGATCATGAACATGAACACCTTCTTTGGGATGTTCTTGCAATTGCAAACGTTTGTTCTGATCTTTTGATAGAAGATCACGAATACTTTCCTTCAAAAGAAAAAATGTCTTCGTTTCTGGTTTGCAAAAGAATCAATCGAATAGAATATTTACATTATAAATTTCTAGATACGAAGCTCGAACAAGAAATTGACGAGAGGTCGTATGTGCAATTGCATCGAATATGTGTGCAAATGACGATGGAATAATTCCACGTAGTTCCACTTGCGAACGAACACCTGTCGTATATTAATTATGAAATGACAAATCTTTCTAAGTTATACTATTCTATCTACCTTCCATTGTAAACGTTTTACCAGTCCCCGTTTGACCATAAGCAAATATGGTTCCATTAAAACCTTCGATAACTGAATCCACCAGTGGTCGTGCTGTCTGCTCATAAACATCTGTTTGTTTGGAGCTAAGATAATATTAGAGAGAGAGAAAGTCTGAGCCAGTGTGAAACTTGGATTACTAACTTCCAGTCGTAAACCGCATCGAAGAAAAAATTATGCCCATCATCGCCTGTGCTACGCTGAGAAATTTCACTAGTCGGTTTTCGAATAGATATTTGTCGACGTTGACCATCGATATTAACGACTCTAATATGAGAAGATACTGAATAGTCAAATTTATTCGAGAGAGAAGCAACCTTTCACAACCAGATTCCTGTTCTTTTTCACTCATGGGACGACATCGAACAACGACTCGAACAGATTCATCTTTCCCTTTACTTGCTGCCGTTGTTGGACGTGGCTAAACACAAATATTCATAAGTCCAACGAAAAGATTCGAAAGAAAAGTTTAGATATATACCATTTGTCAATTTTGAAGAAAATAAACTTGTTTTTCTGCGTGCTTTTCCGACATAAATCAACTTATGCTTCACTACACTGTCATACATCCTCTGCTAGTAACTATGAACTTTTCATTGGTTCAATTTCTAGCGAATGCTTACCAGACGTCATAGAAATAGTTAGTTTGCTGTTTGTTCATTTCATATATGCGAGATTTTACTGACAGAAAAATTCGAACTTCAAGCTTTTAGTTTTCATCGTTCAAGATTATAATTAAAATAAAATTACAAGTTCCTGTTCGCATTGCCTTCAATGTTGTTCAGATGTTTGGAAATCGGTTATTATCGTATTGTTAGATGAAAAAATTTCGTCGTCCACCAACTGAATATGTTCTCGATCAGCCGTTTCGCTTAAGCATGTACCCAAACCAGTTCTCAACGGTTGAACATGATCGAAAAAGAATGCATTAATCTGTGCGCATAAGACAAACAGTAAACCAAAAAAGTAAAATAAAAGTAAAGTGATGATTATAAATCCTAATTGACCAATATAATCAGCCATGAATTCATGAACGTATAAGGGGAAAAATAACATAATAAGTTGTAAACCAACCGCCGCGATCAATGAACCACACCATCTAAACAGAATGTAATGATTCGTTAGAGAAATGAACGAACAACTTACGTATGCCGCCAACTCATCTCACGTTTAGGTAAAATCAGATAGATTAATTGGAAAAATATAAATGAAAGCACTCCGCTTGAAATTGTCGTTAAGAATTGATAGAATGATTCATGACTTTCTAAAATCGCAGGTACTGACGAGAATATAATAATGAACGGCATGATAATCACAAATGCCAAAATCATTTTAATTGCAAGAATATTTTGGTTGAGTATCGATCGTTCACGTATACGGTAAATAATTGTTAAAACATCATCGAAGCCAATGAATAATCTCGAACCGGTAAATAACGATATGACAAAACTGATGATGAAAACCAGTCCGGCTTGTGTCAAGAGTGAATGAAGTAACGCATCGATTATGTCAGCAAGACCCTGTTCAGGGAATGCTTTTACTAGACGATCTCGAATTTGCTGTTGAAACTTCGGGTCATTACCAAAGATCAAACTAACTACAGCAAACATACTTAAAATCAACGGTAATAAAGATATTAATAGATAATAAGCAATGAGTGCTGCTAACGAAAATGACCAGTCATTGATAACTTTCCATGTGAATAAAGCCAATTTTCCATTGATACTATCGCAATTCGTCTTCGTGTTACTGAGTGACATAGTTTGCGTTTCTGTTTCGTTTGAATGAAACCTTATGGTGTTATTATATCCGATGCCCTATTGATTCTCCATTAACACAGAACGACAAAAGAAAGTTTCTCTTCATAGACGCCCACACGTTATACAAGCTGACTCGTCGATGGTATTGCAAGCGAGAAATTGTATTAGACATGCATTTTGGTTTTCATCCAAATATCAAATTCAATAGAATGAGAAAATATTTGAATGATTTTTATGTTGAGAAATATATTTCGTTTTCATTTATTTAACACTGCATTTTTTAATTCCAATAACGACGAAAATAACCTGTTTAAATAAAGAATATCAGACATATTCGATTGAAACAGATGGTTTTTATTCGCAATCATACTAGGATTTAATATGGGTGTTTTTCTTCTACTCGTTTTTCTTCTATCATACGAAAGAAAAAAACACAACAAAAAATTGAGTATCTACTATAATATTATGAACAATCTATTCATGCTTATGTTTTCACATATAAGTGAGAAACGAAAAACGTTTATTCATCCTCACAATAGCTTTTTGTCCTTTGTCTAATCCGATTAAAGCTATCTTAAATGATCTCGATTTTCATTAATCAGCAGACATTAACATCATCATGCAATGATAAATTCGATTCTCTCCGTGTTCAAAATGTCTATGCGATGGATTAACATATTGTAACATATCAAATTTATCTTCACTGATAAAATCTTAATATGTCCTATTAAAGAAAAACTCACTCGTATCTTTATTTACACTTTTTCAATCTCTAATCAGGATATATCATCAAATCGATTCATCACCATTTAATAACATTTCGATCCAAATGAAATTCAGTTGTAATGTTTTTATTTACACATCAACGGATGGTTCTATGAAAACAACGTCAATCAAAGCGAAGAATGTTTTTAATTCGTCGTGAACGATGAAGATTAGTGAAGAAAAACAAGCTTTTCTTCTATTGACGACTTCCGTTTACTTTCGGCTAGTACTATCGCAATGTTAACCTTGGAATGCAGGACAATATGGTTCTTTCATCTTGGTTCATTTGGATTAAGGTCACATTTGCTTAGAGAGAATTTTTTTTACCTCGCAAGGCAATACAACTCAATCGAAGCAACAATTAGGTCGAGTTCATTCTTTTCCTCTCCTTTTTTTGCAGTCTTCAACTTCAACAATCGAAGAGCAGCTGGAGTGGACTGATGAATGATCATTGTTGTGTTCATTTGCTTTCTCTCATTCTTTCGCACAGTTTTTTCTTCTACTCTAATTAGATCTGATTATTTTATCGCTCATTCATACTTTTCTACTCGAAAATTTACACGTGTGTGCACATATCGTTAAGTATAGAGTTCAATTAAAATCGAGATGTTCATTTCGACACAAAAAATGCTTGAGTGTGAAAGATGATATGATAACAAGGACAGGTTCAATAGACAAGTAGACAACGTCTGTTTTACTCCTATTACAGACAACGATAAGTACGAGTGAACAAACGAAAAAATTTACATGTCAAAATAAAAAAACAACATCTTCAATAGATGAAAGTTTGTACATGAAAGACTTCTCTTTCTCTCTCTTTCTTTTCTTAAATTTAATTGAGTCGTTGGGTAGATAAATGTCTCTGGTAATCATTTCTTTACATTATCGTTGAGAACGAGGACGAGTAACATGTACATGCCAAGTTGGAGAGAAAAAGAGATTATGGGATGTTAACATATCTAATTTCTTCGTTCATCATCAACGTATGCACGAGTCTCCTCCTTACGAAATTAAAATGTCAACTCTACATACTTCCTCCTCCTCTTGTTCTTCATCATCTTTGTTTGATAAGAGGTCAGTCATTTCGTCGTTTTACGTTTTTATTTCTCCGACTCACTTTCGTTCGTTTACTTCGCTCTTATTCTGTTTGATGTTTTTTGTTGTTTTTCGATTTGACCTGTCCGCCCTTTGGTCGACCATATGTGTATGCAATGGATATAGAAGATGATGACTCGATGATTGTTCACATGCGTTGTCATTACTGACGAAAGACAGAACATTAAAAAAGCAGCGTTAATTGGCGATGACAAAATGTACTCGACAAATTTCCAAGGTAAAATTACAAGTCAAAGGAGATCACAGAATTTCTTTTAATTGACGACGATTCTTTTTCAGTCATTAGTTTTATTCTTCTCTTCGGACAACTTGCAACGAAAAGTTTAACATTCAGTTATCGAACATGTCTACCAAATATTGATTTAATTCATATTGAACATATTCATCCTTTGAACAGTCAACATTTTCAATTGATCACCAAAGATTTCCATTTGAACATTTTCTATACCTATCAAAATCATAAACAACGATTTCAATTTGGAAATTTAAATCCTTCCATATCGAATCTATCGAATTTCGATTATCAATTTCAATCTGCGATTAACTACTACCATCAAATCGACACATGGAATTATGTGAACATCACATTCGACGATCGCTTATCGCGTGTTTTCGTCTCATTTAATAATGACGAAACTCGATTGATACCGTTAATTGATTATCCAATCGATTTTCACAATAAGACATTCCCGGAAAGCAAATTAAGTGTACAAATATTAATTCCTGAACATGATCAAAATGTCACGTGTTTATTACCATATGATGGTTTCGGAATCAATAGTAACAGTGTTTGCTCGACAGATATCAAAACATGTGGTTTGTAGTGAATTCAATATGCTCGTTCTGTATGAAAAAATTGATTTTAGAATATCGAATATGTAAATCATCAAATAGTGCTGAACAGTATTGTCCACTTTTTAAAATGTTTGATTGCCAGCCTTTTACCGGTACGTCAAATCGAGCAGCAGTCGACTATGGGAATCGATTTGTTGCTTTAATTTTAGATTTGGAGTGTGGTTTGAAGACAATACCTGTTCCTTGTTCGTTCAATCACTGTGAAAATCATGGCAATTGTTATGTGAATATCTTACGAAATCTATCGCAATGCGTTTGCCCATCTGGTAAAACTTTCTCTCTCTGTTTACCTTTGAAGTATATGTATCTTTACAAGGCTTCGCGGGCGATCGATGTCAATATGCAATTGATGAATGTCAATCAAATCCTTGTCCCGTTCAAAGTAAATGTATTGATTTGCCAAATGGTTACACATGTGTTTGTGGTATGAAACGTGCAAATGCATTGATCGGTATAATAATTGTGTTTTCTTCTTTAGAACCAGGATGGACTGACATCGATTGTTCAGAAGATCTCGATGAGTGTCGAACAACTAAACCATGTAAAGCAGCACGGCGGTGCACAAACCTTCGCGGATCGTACAAATGCGATTGTCTGGAAGGTTTTACTGGACAAAATTGTGAAATGGTATGAAAGTAATCGAGCAAGCATTTGCGAATTTCTTGTTTTCGTTATTTTATGCGTTGAGAAATTTATCATCCTGTCATTGTGTGTCATACTAGTACTTTAATCATAGCAATTATTCACCATAGCGTATCTAATTAGTGAGACAAAATGAGATTGAATTTGTTTCTCTTTAATCTTCATCCCATAGTGACGGCCATAGCGTATCGATATCAAAATATGCTACGAAATTGAGCTGCATTTGTCATCCGAGGAACGTTTGTTTTCTGCCTGTCGAAAAGTATTAAGATGATTTGTAGACTGACGAATTTCTTGGTTTAGACACTTGATCCATGCATCTCTCAACCATGTTTGAATAATGCAACAAAATGTCATCCTATTCTCGATCGTGACAATGTGTTTTATCATTGTACATGTCAATCAGGTTTTACAGGTGCACGCTGTGAAACGAATATCAATGATTGCGAAGGAATTATTTGTCCGAAAAATAATACTCAGTGCATTGATGGAATCAATTCATTCCATTGTGAATGTAAAGCAAATTTTAAACGAAGTATTTCAATAGATGATACATCTCACAGAAATTCACGATTTGTTCTTCTCGTTTACAGATTGGGATGGGGAATGTGTCGAACAGAATCCATGTGATTCATCGCCATGTCATCCGAATGCCACATGTTACAATTTAAATGGTGGACAATATCGTTGTATGTGTCCACCAACGTATACAGGCGTTCGCTGCGATGAAGATATCGACGAATGTGCAGTTTTTCCCTTCATTTGTCGTAACGGTGGCTCGTAAGTCAAATGTTCTTTACTTCTCTTGCAATAAATCGATTCTATTCTCTATAAAAGATGTGTGAATGAAATTGGCTCATACCGATGCTATTGTTCCACCGGATGGTTTGGCCCAACATGTGCTAAAGCCATTGACTATTGTCTTTCACAGCCATGCAATCGAAATGGAACTTGTCTTAACAAAGTAATTGACTTTCATCGAATGAAAGAAATCAAATAGCAGAAACGAATTAACTTTAGATCAATGGTTTCGAATGTCGTTGTTTACCACCTTACACAGGCAATGTCTGTCAGTATGATATCAACGAATGTCTAATCGAGCCTTGTGCAAACAATGGTACATGCTATAATTATGTTGGTGGATTTCATTGTCAGTGTCCTGCTGGTTATTTTGGTAAGAGACAATGCTTGACAATTGGTTTCTATTGTGATTGCAAACCTAGGCTTTCATTGTGAATATCCGCCATCGGAGTGTCAACGTTTACAACAAGCGAGTTTAGCGACTAATTGTAATGATCCACATCTATGCGTTGTGAATGATACTGAAAAGCTAAGACAAATTAATCGATTAGCAACGAGTACGTGCAGGACAGAACGTGATCGAATGTTGGATAATTATTTTGCATGTTTGAATGAACATAAATTTAGCCACTGTAAATGCCCTTCAGGTAAAACAGCGAACTATTGCAAGCAGATCCTTTCAAATATGTTTTTTTTTGCTTCTTGAGTAGACATTTTCCCATGTGCAGATAATTACACGGAAACATTCGGAAGGTCTTTGCTTTCAAAATCGTCTTGTCCATGTCGAAACGGTGGCAGTTGCTATTGGCTCAATTCTACTGAGTATCGTTGTTACTGTCCACCTGGGTTAACCGGTAAAAATTGTTTAATCCAAATTGATTATTGCGCAAGTCGTCCATGCTACAATAACGGTACTTGCCTATCCCAACTGGATAGATTCACTTGTCACTGTCCATCCGAATACAAAGGCATCTATTGTCAAACATTCGTCGATCCATGTGAAACTAATCCTTGTTTGAATGATGGCTTATGCGAGCGAAATAGTCGAACGAAATATCAATGTAAATGTTTAACAAATTATACAGGTAGACATTGTGAAATATTCCAAACGCCTTGCCTGTCGCATCCATGTCGAAATAATGGTAAATGTTTCAATCGTAACAACACATACGAATGTCAATGTACACTGAATTATCAAGGCAGAACATGCGAACATTCGCCCGATCTATGTCTAACCAAATCCAATCGAAGTTTCTGTCTCAATGGTGGTTCCTGTTTAATGACAAACGAATTAATTCAATGTTCATGTTTAGCAGGATTTACTGGTTTATTTTGCGAAGTAAACATCGATGAGTGCTATACCAATCCATGTTCATCGCATGGTGAATGTCTGGATCTCATCAATGGTTACCAATGTCGTTGCGAGTCGGGATGGCACGGTTATCATTGTGAAAGCAAACAAAGTGAAATCAGTAAATCGTTTGTTTATCACACAAGCTTGTCTTCAACATTTCATTTACGTTCATCATCGATTAACATATCAAAAAGTTTACCCTATCGCCATTCATCATTACCCATTCGAATTCAATATGAATTTCGTACGACATTGAAACATGTTTCGTTGCTCTCGATTGGTCAACGTTTTAAACAGGAATTAGTCGAGCATCGAATAGTAACGAATTTAGATAACAAAACATTGCTGTCGACGTCATTTGACTATGATGAAAGTTGGTTAATGATGAGTGTCGAAGTTTTTCATTTATGGATTGACGTGCGAATCGGAAAAAATTCTCTCTCGCAACGATTTTATGTCTCGAATGCATCGTTAGCAAATTTAATCAACAATCAAGTTATATTTGGCCTCGAAAACTATTCAGGTTGTGTGAGAAACATTGAAATCACATACAGTCAAGTTTATTCAATTTCGTTAACCGATCAATTGATTGAAACGAACGAAAATCGTACTCTAGGTTGTGAAAAGTAAGTTTCGGACGTGATTCGACTTGTGTGAACGAACTTTGTTTGTTTGCATAGAACAAATGCTTGTCAATATTCAACTTGTCGAAAGAATGAGATATGTCAAGATCATTGGTTTTACCATATATGCCAATGTCAACGACCTTTCTTCGGTGAACGTTGTGATCAAAGTAAAATTCTCACTTTTGTTTTTTTCGTTTTTTTTCTAAATCAATCTTTTAGTCGCTCCAATCGTTTCCTTCAATGAAAATAGCGTTGCCAATGTCATCTTTTCGTCTCCTATATCAAACATCTCTCTCTTCTTTAATACGTTGCAATTAAACGGTACTCTATTTGAACTTATTTCATCGTCTAAACAGTATCGATTTGCTCGTAATACTTTATCAACAAATCCGTCATCATCAAAAATAACCGGAGGCTTCATCGACGGTCACTTTCGATTGATTATTATCGACGATGGGCCTAAACGACAAGAATATGAGTTGCGCAGCGAGCAACGATTCAATGACGGACAAACACATAATATTCAACTTGATTTAGATAATTATCGACTGCTTATCGATGACATTTACAATGAAACATTGACGAAAACCAATCATACCTTTCTACCGAATCAAGTTGAATTACTCGGTGATGGGTCATTACAAGGTTGGTTGCAAGATGTACGCATCAATGATCAATTGATTCCATTTGATCGAACGAAACAGTCACAAAAAGATTTCAATGTAACGTTCTTCCATATGAAATCATTAGAAACAAATCCATGTTACCCAATCAATCCATGTTTGAATCAAGGCATTTGTCTCGTGACGAATTCAAATGATTACTCGTAAGTGTTCAACTTTCGTACTGATGGGAATTCATTTCTTTCTTACAATGAAGTGATACATTATAGTTAGACGATTAAACTCTGAGTAGAGACTATAATCTTCACATTGTTTCTTTTATTCGATGTGTGTGTGTATACAATTCATCGTTTCTTTTGTATCTCTTCGTTCGTCGATGTAAGATGAGACACTGCGTCTGCATGACATACAGAAATACTTTGATGTAACCACAATTATGTTGGAGAAACTTTCTGTCAAAGATAGTTTTTTAATCTTGATTTACTTCCTTTCATTTCCATCATTCATCAGGTGTCAATGCAATACGGACTGGTTTGGACGGAACTGCTCGGAACCCAATATCTGCAGCTATCATAACCAAAGTTTATGTCCTGATGGATTTGTCTGCAAAGTAATCGACGAAAATCAAGAATGTAAGTTCAATCGATCGATTCTTTCGAAGATCTTCAGCGTTACACTGTTGATTAGGTTTGGCCACGGCGACATTCGAAGGCAATACGAGCAGTTTAATTGCCACATTACATCATAGTTCAGTTTCACAGATTTCAAATGAATTATCGTTCCGACTTCGTGCACGCTCTCAACATGCTCATCTATTAACTGTGAAGAATTTGTACACATCCAGTTACTTCTCGTTATATCTGCATGGAAATAACTTTCTCTATCGTGATTCCATTCGAATAACGGATTTGATTATTGAATTGAACAACGAGACATTCGATGAATGGGCAACATTTCACTTTCATTGGTCAGATTTCTCCACATTAACCATCAACTATTTGTACACATACACAATCAATTTATCGCTGAAAGCATTATTAACGGCGAATGGACAAACACAAATATTCATTGGCAACGGCTTTCGTGGTTGTTTGGAATACTTATTAATTGGTGAAAATCTCTACATCCCGTTTTATAACGACATGATCTATGAAAATGACACACGCACGAACAAATTCTTTACGGAACAAATTGAAAACATTCAAATAAATAATTGTACATTTAATCATATATGTGATGATATGGATTGCCAAAACGGACAATGTATGAGTGATTTCGATCAAGGCAGATGTGTTTGTCATCCGGGATGGTACGGAGATTTCTGTCAAGTCAATATTAACGAATGTGAACAAGGTAATAACTGTTCAAAAGAGCATAGTATTTGTGTGGATCATATTGATGGATATTACACATGTCAATGTGATGAAGGATTTACTGGACTTTAGTAAGTTATTGAGTATATTTCAAAATTCTTTTCTGTACTCTCGTTATATGATCTTTTAGTTGTGAAACAAATATCGACGAATGTTCATCATCTCCTTGTAAAAATAACGGTACTTGTATTGATCTAATCAATGGCTACTCATGTCAATGTACGAGTGATTATATAAACGCTCATTGTACAAAGTCGAAGAATGAGACTTGCTTTGGTCGAACGCATCCATGTCAAAATAACGGCATATGTATTTTGAAAAGTGCACATTTTTATGTTGATAATCCAGAAACGGAGTGTCAATGTGCAAATGGTTATTATGGACGATGGTGTGAACATGACTCATGTTCAAATTTAATTTGTCAGAACAATGGTACGTGTCAACGATTACCAAATGGCCAAGCGAAGTGTTCATGCTTAGTCGAATGGTTCGGAAATGAATGTCAATATGATGTCAATGAATGCGAAGTAAATCAAACGAATATTTGTTTAAATAATGGAACGTGTGCGAATTTATTTGGTGGTTATGAATGTCATTGTCAGAATAATTATCTGGGCAAAAATTGCCAGCGAAAACATGTCTGTCTAGAACGATCACCTTGTCTTAACCATGGACAATGTAGAACTGAAGGAGAACATTATTATTGCGAATGCTCGGCGAACTTCACAGGCACACATTGTGAATTATTGACGTGCGAATCAGAACCATGTCAACATAATGGAACATGTTTATCGAATATCAAAGACGAATTTTTCTGTAATTGCACTGGGACTGGTAAGGATAACTGATAGTCTTTGTATGAAATTTTTTACAACCTGACTGTTAAAATAGGTTACGAAGATGAAAAATGTAGTACGGAAATCAATGAATGTCGAAGTAATCCATGTTGGAATAACGGTACCTGTATCGATCAGATCGATGGGTATCTTTGTACATGTCCGTATGGTTTCACTGGCTATCAATGTGAAAATAAGCAGAAAGCTTTGAACTATTTCGGTTTTTCCTATCATTATATCGTATGGCCGGGTATTGCGATTTTACTGTTAATGGCTATTATTTTACTAACAGTTATTGCTGGCCGTATACGTGAGAGCCGTCGATTACGAGGTACATATCATCCAGCAATAAACGAAAATGGTCAAACGTCACGAATGGAGTTTAGCATGATTTTAAAACCACCACCAGAAGAACGTTTGATTTAGTCAGTTGCGATTAGTCAATTCATTTCACCTATCACTGTCACTATTTTTCTTTCTTTCTTTCTTGCTTTCTTGTTCTCGTTCGAGAAACTTTGAACTATGATTGTGTTTTTCTCATGCAATGTCTGTGTGCGTGTGTTGATGTAGTTTCTGTTTGTAATAAAGATTCTTTTCTCATTTGAAGATTTCAATCTATCATCGAACATGCCATCAAGTCCAGTATCATTCCTCGATTATCTCGATACTCTTGCTGTGGTCAGTGGTGGACTCTTCGCCGGTACAGCCCTTTATATTTCGATCGGTCAGGTGCCTGCATTGCGTCAGTTTGGTCTTAGTGATCATTGGCGATTTTTCCCGTACATGTACAAAAATGCAGCACCACCACAGGGAACCTTTGCTACTATTGCCGGTGTGGCAAGTATTGCGCACGCAACACGTATTCGCGGTTCTCCATTCGATCGTAATTTGTGGATTATAGCAGGAACAACATTTCTAGCCATCATTCCATATACATTCGCATGTATTGCACCAGTTAACAAAGCGATTATTGAAGATAATAAAAGTGTTGATGCAGGAAACGAGAGTAAAGTAAATGTTGGTGCAAAGAAAGATTTGCTAGATAAATGGGCACTTTTACATTTGGTTCGTACCGTTGGATCGGTTGCTGGCTTCGGCGCCATGGTTTTTGGACTCACTCGTCATTGATCCCTCGTCTTTAGCTGGTAAAGATTTTAGTTTTTTTTATAGCACCCTTTTTTCATTGAAATAAACTTTCCCTTACCGACACAAAGCGACAACTTATGACTTCGAAATATTAAGAACGTTTGATTGGTTACGAGAAGCTAACGTGTTGTTTGAATCATACATTTTGTGATACTTTTTACTACACTTTGAAATCTGACTATATGTCATTGAGTGAGCTTCAACGTGGTCAATTGACAGGAAGGATTTATTCCTCGTCAAAAGGATTTCACAACGTATCATCGAAGTCGACAAAAGATGGCAATTACCAAAAGCAACAGACTTTGTACCAATGGTTTTTATCTATTTTAAAAGAGGTTTTCCTACCAGCTGGATATCCAAAGTCAGTGTCCAGCGACTATCTTGGCTATCAAATTTGGTAAATGAAATTTGCCAGATAGCAAAAAGTTTCAATCAAGACTTTCTATTATAGGGATACAGTTCAAGCATTTGCCTCTTCTATTACGAATGCATTAGCATTTAGTGCTATCTTAGAAGGAATGGGCGTAGGAGATGACAAAGCATCTGTTCTTTCAGCGACATTCGTCTGGTTAGTTAAAGACGGAGTGGGAATGTTAGGACGAATTCTCTTCGCTTGGCTTCACGGCACTGGTAAATATAATATACATTGGAGAACAAATCATATCTCTGCTCTTCTCAGGTCTCGACAGTAATCTGAAAATGTGGAGATTCTATGCGGATATTCTCAATGATCTAGCTACGTCGATCGATTTACTAGCTCCATTTTTCAAACATTTACTCTTACCAATAGCCTGTCTCTCTAATCTATGCCGTTCGATTGTGGGTGTCGCGGGTGGATCAACACGAGCGGCATTAGCACAACATCAAGCTATTGCTCATAACATGGGTGATGTGTCAGCAAAAGATGGATCTCAAGAAACGCTTGTCAATCTTTTAGCATTAGTTGTAAATATATTTCTATTGCACACGGTTAAACGTGATCAATTTATTGTTTGGTTTTTATATTTCACATTGACGGCATTACATTTGTTTGCGAATTATCGTGCAATTCGAACGTTACAATTACGCACATTCAATTGGAATCGATTTGTATTAATCTGCAAGAATTATTTTCCGAAGAAGGAAATGCCAACAGTTGCTTACATCAATCGACACGAACCGATTCTGATGGAGGTTGGTCAGTCATTGAAATGTTATGTTGGAATGCGACTAAACGAAAATGAAGTCAAATCGATGAATATTGATCAATTTCTTCGATATCATTTCGCTATTTTATTCAATCAATCGTCCAGCCGCTTTGATATCGTGCTAACTGATACTTGTAATGATCAAGACCTAATCCGATGTTACTTTCTCCTTCAATATTTGATTCACTCCACTCGCTTCGACGAATTCTGCATCATTCCATCGAATGTCTCTTGGATTGATCTAGATCGATTACATACAGTGACGAAGAATCTCTATGAAGATTTCCTTTCGAAAGCACAAGCGATCGGTTGGGACATAACACAAGCAAAATTTCTTGTAAACAGTTACAGATATACTTCAAAACAGCATTAAGAGGAAGGAAAGTTTTATCCGGTCGATGTTTTGTTTTTGTTTCATGTTAATAAAACGTTGTTCTCTTGCTTGATTTGATATTGAGAGGTTGAAATTTATTAGATAGAAAATTATGAAATATTCGATAGGAGTTGGCTGGAGAGAAGAAATCTTTCAATGTCCTGTTTCCATCACACGAAATCTATTAGAATAGATTCGACATTAGTAGTTGTGGCGTACTGATATCATTAGAACAATGGGCGGTCTCCTGATGTTGACCTTCATGATACTTTGTGCATTGTCTGGGGTCACGATGCTTCTCAGTATATTTTTGAATGTTGCTGTTCTTATCGTTATATTCAATTAGCGTGGAGTTATCTAAAATAATACTTTTCTTATCGATTTCCATATCTGAAGGTTACTCTCACTTTGTGATACAAGATCATCAATTGTTTCTGTTAGCTGAAGATGTTGATCTATGTCTTCTAAAACGGAAGCAAACCGTATTGCGAATCTATGTGCCTAAATAGACATACCGCATGTGATAGGATCGAAGGGAATAGTTAAATCGGTAGTGTTTTTCTCTGTGGTTTGAATTGACACTAAGGAGATGAATGTGGCTGAAGTGGAGTTTTCTATGCGAAACCAAATTGATAGAGATTTTGTTTGTTTAGCATCTGCTATTCTTACCGATTAAACTACATAAGTTTAGTTGCAGTTGTCGATGTTGGGAAGAATTGAAAACGATCGTTTGGATCAGATTCGACAATTCATTAAAGCTAGTTTTTAGTTTCGAATGAAAACTTTCCTCATCTTGGGGATTGTTAATTGATGATGATGGATATTTCACATGACCGTAAATCCATAATATCCCATTCGGATTCATTAATTCAAATGCGGACGAATTGGAAATGGGTACGGTTAGAAATGCAATTGGATTTGATTGAAGACCCAATTGTTTATTAGTCTATTTCACGATAAAGTACGAAGGAATATATTGTTGAATCTGTAATTACCTGCTGTGAAAAGAGCGCAAGATACTCGATGATTTTCTTCGATAATTCTAATTTGTCTTTCGAGTCCAATGGCACATTGACAATATTTCCTATGAAAATTCTGAATCAAAATCAGATGAGTTCAAGTTTATCTTACTATTAATTTTGTTAACCGAATTGCTAAGTAGATATTGAGGATTTAAAGAAATCAGAATAAGAAATGCCAATATAAGAAAACATCCCGTAATCATACACCAACACATGTAGACGGAAAACTGCGATTGCCTGAAAAATTCGTGAACTTTGCATTGTTTATCTCAAACATTTGTTTACGCTTACTGTTGTTTGGATTTCGATGACTCTTCACGATGAACATCCTCATCAACTTCATAGATGGTTTCGAGCATACTTGTTTGTTCTTGTACTTATTCTATAGGAGTAAATACAGCAAATGCATACCGACGAAATGAATGCGCAATGAAGCGAAACAGTATCATTCTTTTTTCGCAAAGGTAAACTAAGAGAAAAAAATATTTCTATGATATAATTAACCGATATACAGCGTATTTCTTTTCGTTTCGACAAAACAAAATGTATGGACTATTAATGAGAATAAGCAAGTACTATGCTTGATTAATGCTTAAAGAACGAGAAATATGAATGATTCACTGTCGTTTCTCTAGTTTCTGTGACATGATTTGTTCGTGTTTTCTTAGGTATTAATGTCCATCAATCACACGGAGAAGTCAACAAAATACTTCGCATGGATGACTGTACTCATGAGTGACTTGTTTGTGTCATTATCAACACGATGAAGATAAGGACATACTGAATAATTTCAGGACTACGGAACTCGTAAAGTTGGGTCAAGAATGAAAAAGTTCTTACTGAAGCTGGTATCAGTGACATATGCGTTGTTTGTATTCATTTCATATTGAGCTAAACGCACAAATACGCGGAAAATATGTGAAAAGTCATGCCTTGAGTCATGTTTTCCTTCGTGTTTGACGAAGAAAGAATAGTAAAAGTTAATAACCATATTTTCGTCGCAGGTAAAAGTACATGGTCTTACATCCGATGAGAACGTGTACTTCACGACTACAAATCAGCTTATCCTTATTTCGATACTCTAATATTTGCATTCAATCTCAGTGAAGAAGAAGATTTTAATAGTAGAACAATGTTATAACGAAAACAATAGCTAAACAGGCAACAAACATTCTAGTCAGGATGATGTTATATATAGCAAAGTATTAATTAATTGAATGAATATATGAACCGATATGTATTAGTAACAAAGTAGCATCTCGTTTACAAACGACGAGATATGATTTATATTAATACAGAATGCTGGTCGAATAGAACAAAATTTGATCAGATATTATCAAAAGAGAGCATATATTTTGACTAGTAGGACAAATACAAGTTTTGGAATTTGACAAAGAAATCATAAGACCGGCGTTTGAACAGTCACCATTAAAGTTATATTGGAATATACAAAGAAAAATAAACAGAAAGACCAGAACAGATACATATTTGTGCTTTGGCTATGTTTCTCCATGTTTCTAAACATTATTGATAAGATTCTCGACGGCACTTGCTTCCCAGATTTGAAATGATGAATCTTCAGCAACTGAAGCAATCATCGGTCGTGTTGGATGCCAGCTTATATCAGGTATACGTGAATCATGTCCTTTATGATCAAAAATAACCCCATCAGGTGATTTCAAATCCCAGACACAGACATGTTGATCGGCACTACTGGATGCAAATACACTTGGTGCTAATGGACTCCAGGCAATTTGAAGTATAGCATCTCGATGACGTTGATCAAAACGTCGAACTTCTTTGGAAAGATTTCTCATATCCCACAGAGCAATTGTTGTATCGTCAGAACCAGTTAATAGAGCATATTCGTTAATTGGATGAAATGCAAGACAATTGCAATCAGCTGAATGAACTTTGACACGAAATTGAAGAGTTTTCGAGGATGATGTTGGTGATGGAAACAATGATTCTACGAGCGAGGCACTACCTGACGATGCACGAAGATCAGTGATGAGCAAAGTACCCGAACCAGCTGCTGCACCGAAAACAGCTGGATGACTAAAATTCAGACAGTTTAAGGTGAGTTTTCGTTTTCTTAAACTTCATTAGATGAGCACACTCTTACCTCGGATGCCATTGAATAGCATCAACAAGTTTTCGTTCTGAATCGAATGTTTCGACTGGATCAAGGATTGTATTACATTCGATTCCATTTGTCGGTGTAGTTGGAACAGGGGCAGTGGACATTTTTTCAACATTCCACAAGCACATTTTTCCATCTTGAGCACCAGTCAATAGCAAACCTTGTTGGATCGGATGCCACGATAAAGCAAAACCTTCATCCGTATGTCCACGTAAGATAGCTTGTGGTCGAGAAATGCCATCCGGATTCAATTTACTTGGATGTTTACTATAGTCAAATAAGAATATATCGTTGGTCGACGAGAAGCTTGCAATTTTGAATGTATTTTGAGGCATAGCACGAGCTTTATTTACATCACCAACATGATACATTGGTACGTAAGGATGTACTAAAGATGAAAAGACAAATCTTTCGATGCTATTTCACGATTGAAAACGGGAAAATATTTACTTGAGCCTCGAACACCCATTTCATAGCCACCATGTTCACCGGTGAATTCATCGAAGCCTTGACATTTGCTATATACCAGTTAGCTCATTGCGTGAATCAGTAGGTGTTCGTCCACCTTGTGTACCAATGATCAAACGATAATAATCACATTTTGGATCACCTTTGACAGTATGATAGTCAAGCCATTGAACTGTTGGTGATGGACATTGAAGTAGTTCGTAAAATAACATATTGTACAGATAAGGAGAGTTTTTTCTCCAACGACAAAATTCCGTTGATTGAAAGACTTGATCATATTCGTCACTTTCACCATCGTCCTCTTGCTGTGGTGGTTGCTGTGCGATGTCTATGTTAGGTTCATCAATTTGAATAATTATGGATTCAATTTCCATGGTTACTTCTGCAAAAGAAGAAAAGGACATGTAAACAAATTGATAGATTATCACCATTGAACTTGTCCGTTAAATGTTGTTATGTTTTGAAACTTATTTATATCGAAACAGAAAAAACAGAGTGCACGAATGTATGTATAGAAGAGAAAAAAGTAAGAAAACATACAGTGACAACAATACAATTAGGCATAGAGCACAAGTGTCGAAAAGAAAACAAGGAAACATTAGTCATTTTTACATAAACCAAAACCAGACAAGGAGTATTAGTGGTTGAATTGTTTTTTTTCTCAACGGAGATTGTTCATCCATCTGACAAAAAAACAACAAGATACATGTTTTGTCTTCATCCTTTGGGATTGAACCATGTTTGCCAATTCGATACAGGAGTACCAGATAATGAGTTCGCGTTCGATGCGGAATTGGATAATGAAGCTTGTTGTTTTCCCGCGCTTTGAGAGTAAAGCTGCGATGGAGCGGTGATTGTCGCTGGAGTTGTTGTAGATGGGTTCTGAGATTGTGACTGCTGTTGTTGTTGTTGCTGCTGCTGCTGTTGCATATATGCTTGGCACTGCATCCTGTGTTTGTCAAAATTAAATAGGTTCATGAATAGATGTGTTTCGACTGATGTAACCTACCAGTATTGAGTCCACGCGTTGGTATTCGCCTGGCTCGACGCAGCATCTTGAGTATTGCTAGTTGCAGAAGATGAGTTTACTGCTAGTCCTAGAAAATCAATAATTGTTTTTATATGTTCAGTAAATTATATTTTTCTCAGCGACAAACCTTGTGGAAATTGTTGAGGAGTATTAGTTAGGGTAGTTGGTGGTTGAACACCTGTTTGCTGCTGCTGCTGCTGTTGTTGCTGCTGCTGCATATATTGCCTGTAATGAAAGAAAGAGAGAGGAAGGTCTCACATTTATTGTTCAGACAAGTGTTTGATTTCAAAATCTACCAATATTGTTGATAGTACTGTTGCCAAGCTTCGGCATTGTTAGCATTCGCTGCTGGATTTGCCCCGGCTGTTGATGGTGGCATTTGTGACTGAGGCGGAGCTAAAGAAGGATTGGACTGAGCTGAAAATCAGAGAAAAACAAGAGATAGCAAATTTGAGTATCAGCAGTGTGCAAATACTTACTATTTGCAATAGATGGTTTTCCACCTGTTTGAGAAGGATGAGGCATACCTGGATAGTGTTGGTTCGCAGATGGAGGAAGCGGCTGCCGATGAAAATCGTTATTATTGCCATAGAAAGGATTAGATGATTGAGCTGTGGGCATATTTGGATTTGATTGACTACTTGCAGCGATAGATGCTAATGCTTGATTCATATAGGTATTGGGCCCTCCTTGTTGTGGTGGTGGTGGTTGTTGTTGTTGTTGTTGTTGATTACCCCAACCGAATGGCGGTGGTTGTTGAGCTTGAGGAGGCACTCCTTGTTGCGAAGAAAATGTTGACATCATCGGTGGGCGTGCTTGACTAAATGTGGGGTTAGTTGGTTGATTAAAATAAAGTGGTGCAGTTGTAACGGTAACGTTTGGGAGAGAGAAATTTGGTTTTGTAAGAGGTTGATTATCATCATAGTCATCCTGTCGATCACTGAATCGACTTGGGCGACCGTCGCTACGCGTATGAGGTTGTGAATAGGATGAATTATTTGAGTTTGGAGGATAGAAATCTGGTCGATTCGATACTGCTGGTGGGAGTAGACTGGGACGATTTTGTTGAGGCGGTCCCATTGGATCATAGTTTCCGTGTTGAAAACTTTCTTGAAAAGGTCGATTTTGAGATAGTGCTCCGTCATAATTTGGTCGTCCATTTCTGTTAAATGGATGATTATCTAAAATGAAATTGTAGTCTAGAATGAGTATTTCTAAAACATCGATGGACTACCTGGTGGTAACTGTTCACTAGAATGATGATGATGATGATGATGGGGATTCATGTCTCGCTGACGATCATGAAAGCCACCTCTGTTACCTCCACGTCCGCCTTCTCGACGATCATGCCGTGGCGGTTGGTTATTATCAGGACCAAAACGTGACTGATGTGGTTCACGTGAATTGTTATGGTGACCAGCACCCCGACCACCACGACCGAAATGATCGTTACCACCACCTCGTCCACCTCTTCCACCATTGCGACGATGATCATCTCCAAATGAATGATCATCTCGTGAGTGGCTATGTCGATCACGTGGTGAACGTGAACGATCTCTAAAACAAGGAATAAACGATGTCTTCGTTTTCGAACACTGATTTCGATGAAATTTTACCTGTTAAACGACGATGACCGATCAAAGCCACCCCGACCCGGTCGCTGTGAGTCTCGATCACGATATCGACCTTGGTTATCACGGTGAGATGAGTGATCTAAATAGACGATTGTATAAGTGGTTACATTAAAGAAGTCGAGAAACTTAATCATACCTGATCGTATACTAGAATTATCGTCACCATGATGATGATGTTCGTTATGAGTATCTGATGATTTGTTCATGTCAGACCCTGTAGGAGGCGTGTCTAGAATGAAATTTGAAAAAGGATAGATTTTCCATGTGTCTCTCAGAAGTAGATCTACCTGAACTTTCAACTTGGACGGATAAGAGTGAAGGCAGAGAATTATTACTAGCATTGGATGGCAGTGCTGCTTTTTCACTACCAAAATCTAGCAATGAAGGTGGACCTTCACCCATAGTTGGCTTGTTTCCTAATGAACGATTTCGATCATCAGGGAATGAATCACGCCGACTAGCACCACCTCCACGTGGATATGGCATTCTTCCTCGTCCTCCACCACCACCACGATTAAAATCACGATCGAACGGTCTTGATGGCTGTTGTTGTTCGACATCAAACAGGCTGGGCACTTTCGATTGACCACTACGTTGATCGTCGTTCGGTCGATTGAACTGGTTGTGGTTGTTATTGAAGCGATCATGTTGATGGAAATCTCCACGTCCACCACGTGAACCGCCCCTATGACCAAATCCACCATCATGGCCTCCTCTTCCTCGCATTCCACCGCCTTCTCCACCCCTGCCTCTCATTCCAACACCACCGCCTCGACCATAACCGCCTCGATTGTCTTCAAATCGATGTGAGTGAAAATTACGATCCTAGAAAGAGATTTATTCGTCGATATCGAGTATATTGTCAGTGATTTTTAACTTACAAAATCGTGCACATCGTCCATCAACGAAGGTGGACCACCGGAGCGATGATGAGACGACATGACGAACAGTTACTTGCTTGAAAACTAAAAAGAAATTGATAACTATATATTTATTCAAGTATACTTTTCTGTCAGCTATCCTATCCTAAACTATTGACATGCGTTATAAGACAGTAGAGGAAATTATGCAAAGGACATATCGAGGGAGGATAGAAGTCTTATCACATGTTTCTACGTATTTTATAGTTTGTACAACATCGAATAATATGTACACAATTATTTCTACGCGAGATAATAAACTGCGAATGCAACGATCCACGTATTTTAAAATATAATTTCGTTTAAATTGAGAGATATCAACGAATTATATTTAGTATGCGGTTATTAATATTCATTGGGTGAATCAATGATATAGGATGAATACGGATATTAAGAAGAAAAAAGTAGCATTCGCAATTATATTCTATTTTAAGAAGCGATTAAATCAATTAAACCAGATGGATTATCCTTATTAATCACTTATGCTGTTATCAGACAGGTGTGTAGCACAGGAAAACAAGGAATTTCAAGGATATATAACAAAATTCCTTGCGAAGCAACTTGATAAGTGCGTACAATCCACGATTGATTATATGTGTATAGTGATTTTATCGGTGGATTTTGAGCTCTTATACCTTAAAACAAGTATGGATAATTTAAAATAGTCTGAAAGGATGAAATTATTTCTAAAATAATCTAAAAATATTAGATAAGAAATCTTTTTTTCTACATATAAGATAGGAACAAAAGATTTGTTTTCTATTACCAATATTGACAAACAACTATATGCAAATGCACTGATTGGTTGGTGTTTTCGTCCAATCAGAATATATCATGACTTTCCTCATTTAAAAAATGAAATAGGGGATTAATTTAAAAAACTAGAATTTTATAATTATTTTCTTCGTGAATTTAAATGAAAATAAATCTTTTTCAATATTCTTTCATTCTTTTTCCAATCGGAGGCCAAAGTGAATTCAATAGGGCCATATTATTTATTTATTATTTCTCTTTCAAAGAAATAACCATTCACGTCCATTTTTGACCAACAAGTCACATACATTTTCTCTTTCTAGATCTCCAGTCGTTCGTGACACAAAACCATCAACATGGGTCGTATGCATGCTCCTGGGTATGTCATTTCCATTGAGTTTTGACAAATCGAACTCAGCATTTTTCTTTCAGCAAGGGTATTTCAGATTCTGCTTTACCCTACAAACGAACTGTACCATCCGTAAGTTCTCACAAAGGACTTCTTCGTTCAGCACACGTTAGTTGCCTATTTTTTTTTAGTGGTTGAAATTAACATCCGAAGATGTTGTTGATCAAATTTGCAAATTGGCGAAGAAAGGTTTAACACCATCACAAATCGGTAAAACTAAATGAGTGTTTTTCGGATTGACGAGAAAGAATTTCATCATATAGGTGTCATTCTTCGTGATTCACATGGTGTTGCTCAAACACGTTTTGTTACTGGAAACAAAATCTTACGTATCATGAAAGCAAAAGGTCTTGCACCAAGCAAACCAGAAGATTTACATCACTTGATTAAGAAAGCTGTTGCTATTCGTAAACATTTGGAACGTAATCGCAAAGACAAAGATTCCAAATTCCGTTTGATTCTTGTCGAAAGCCGTATCCATCGTTTGGCACGATACTACAAAACCAAGAACGTCCTTCCATCAACATGGAAATACGAATCATCAACAGCCGCTGCTCTTCTTGCTTAAAATAATATAACATCGTTGTTTTGCTCATTTTAATATGAGAAAGAAAGAAAAAATAAGAATAAAGATAATAAAAAGAGAGCATGTTTACAATAGAAACACATGTTTCATTTAGATTCGTATGTTTCTAGATTGATTTTTAAGATTTTTCTTTTTAATTAAATCAGTGCGATGGCCGCACAAGACCTCATCAATATTCTCGAGCGAACAGCCACCGGATGTATGTGTACAGATAGATTTATCATTTGAATCACCGACTCGGACTCTTTTTTAGCTCAAGCCGATTTGGAGAATGCCCGAAATTTTCTTGCTAAAGCAGCCGAACAAAACTTGCCCGAACTGTTAAAACAACTTTCTGATATTTTAAATACGACCACAAATAATCCAACAGCACGCACACAAGCAGGTAAGGAAATACTTACGTGTTCGTGCACTTGTTCATGACGATTTCGCTTCTTGTAGCATTACAACTTAAAAATGCACTCTATTCACGAGATAATATAGAAGCTTTTCGAGAACGATGGCTTCGCATACCCGACGATATCAGAGCACACGTGAAAAATAACGTAAGAGACCAAAGGATTCTTTGAAAACATCTAATCCTCTACTCAATTCAGTGTTTCAATGCGCTCGGTACTGAAACGTCCAAACCATCACAAGCAGCTCAATGTGTCGGTTATATCGCTTGCGCCGAATTGCCGCGAGGCCAATGGCGAGATTTAATCGGTAGGACTTTCCACTAGAATTATCTTCGATAGCACTTATCATACATTTAGAACGGTTGGTTGCTAATGTGACGACGGTCGGTAGACCTGATAACATCCGTGAAGCAAGTTTGGAAGCACTTGGTTATATATGTCAAGATATTGTAAGTTGATTTTGGGTATCAGACTTTGCTTACTGATGGATATTTTCAGGAACAAAAGGTACTTGAACCTCAGAGTAATGTTATTCTAACTGCACTTGTATATGGCATGCGTAAAGAAGAAACGAACGATCATGTACGTCTTGCTGCAACAACAGCCATGTTGAATTCGTTGGAATTTACTAAAAACAATTTCCAAAATGATGTATGATTCAGCTAGAAGTATTGAGTACGTCTAATTTTTCTCTGTTGTCTTCTTTCAATAGAGTGAACGACATTACATTATGCAAGTTGTATGCGAAGCCACACAATCAACCAATTTAAAGGTAAATTCGATATTTTCATTCCCGGAACCTTTCATCTTCAATTTACATTTTTTTCTACTTTAGATTCAAGTTGCAGCTTTGCAGAATCTCGTTAGAATTCTGAGCTTATATTATGACTACATGGAATACTACATGGGTCCTGCATTATTTGCGGTAAGATGCCGTACTCTTAATTGAAGTTCTTTCGCATTACCTTCGTTCTTTGTAGATTACTATGGATGCAATGAAATCCACCCATGATGAAATAGCTTTACAAGGTATTGAATTTTGGTCGAACGTCTGTGACGAAGAGTACGAATTACAATTAGATCAACAAGAAGTAAGTAATCTCCAGTTAAATCTAATATTTAATTCAATTTTTCTGTGTTCAAAGGCACAGGAACAAAATCGTCAACCAGAACGAACAAGTCGTTACTATGCACGCGGTGCGTTACCATACTTAGTACCCGTTTTATTACAACGTTTAACTATGCAAGAAGAAGCAGACGACGATGACGATTGGAATCCATGTAAAGCTGCTGGCGTCTGTTTGATGTTATTGGCTAATTGCGCCGAAAACACAATTATTCAATACGTCTTTCCATTTGTCAGTGAAAATATCAAACACGCCAATTGGCAACATCGTGAAGCAGCGGTCATGGCGTTTGGTTCGATGTTAGAAGGGCCTGATGTGGCAAGCATAAAACCAATTGCTGAACAAGCAGTACCGTTTTTGCTTGAATTATTACGCGACCCAAATGTTGCTGTACGTGATACAACAGCGTGGACAATTGGACGCATTTTTGAATTCGTTTCACAAGCTGTAATGACTCCGGAATTAATTCGAGCGATTGGCAATGCATTAGTCAATGGTTTGGGAGATGTTCCACGTGTTGCAACGAATATTTGTTGGGTAGGAAAAACGAAATTTCCCCGTTTGAGCTTGTAAAAAAGTCTACTTTCTGGTTTTAGTCATTTTCGAGCTTAGCTCGTGCTGCATATGAACATGCTGAATGTCCAGATGATGATGATACACCAAATACCTATTTATTATCACAATTTTTCGATGAAATCGTTCACAAACTCATTGAAACAACAGATAGGTACGTATATCTTGCCCAGAAATCACTGCTAAATTCTCGTCCTGTCGTTTTACAGACCAGATGGTAACCAATCTAATTTACGTAATGCCGCTTATGAAGCGTTGATGGAAATGATTCGTCACAGTCCCAAAGATTGCTACAGTACTGTTCAAAAGACCACAGTGACTGTACTTGATCGATTAAATCGAGTCATATCAGTCGAAAGTCATGCAGCTAATCCAAACGACAGAGTACAAATTAGCGATCTTCAATCATTACTTTGTGCGACACTTCAAGTAAGACAAGCATGACAAAACGTGTTTTCAAAAAACTATTTTTATGAACTATTTAGAGTGTACTTCGTAAAATGCATCCAAATGATGCTCCACTCATATCAGATCCAATTATGCAAGCTTTGTTACAAATGCTCAAAGCAAGTAGTGGAAAGACAAGTGTTGTGCAAGAAGATGCACTTGTCGCGATCGGCACTCTAGTTGAAGGTTTGTGCTTACAAAAGACTTTCAACAGAACCGGTAACTGTGTATTTATTTTCAGTATTGGGGGTCAATTTTCTCAAATACATCGATCATGTCCTTCCATTTCTTTATGAAGCATTAAATAACCATGCTGAATATCAGATATGCGCAGCTGCTGTTGGCGTTGTTGGAGATTTAAGTCGCTCGTTACTTGATAAGTTAGCTCCGTATTGCGATCTAATAATGACTCATTTGCTTACTTGTCTCGGTGTAAGTGAAACGAAAGTATCCGGGCATTCTATATCACTCTCCATTGACTTATTTAGGATGATAGATTACATCGTTCCGTCAAACCTCAAATTTTAAGTACATTCGGTGATATTGCTCTAGCCATCGGTGGTTATTTCAAAAAATATCTGGAACACGTTTTAAATACTCTTAGTCAAGCATGTCGTGCTCAAGTTTCGAAAACAGATTACGATATGATCGATTACCTGAATGAACTACACGAAGGTTGCTTATCTGCATACACGGGTATTATCCAAGGTCTCCGCAATTCAGCAGCA